ACATGCTGTATCAGGTTGAGACTCTTGAGACTCCATGTCATGGAGGTTGACAGGCACATATTTCGATAATGTGTGTGAGTTTTTAGTGTTGGCAGAGGAGGACTTGAACCCTGAATATGGTAATCCACATCTCACTCGCAGATGACTAAACTCCACTGTCTTAAAGACACAACTGCATTCCCCCCTCATTATATTACATGTGTGCATCATTGTGTGTTATAAATGGTTCTTCTGTTTCCACAGCCGTGCCAAGTACCAGGTCCACATCTTAGTAAATGCACTGGGGTCCTCTGTGATGCCAAAGGACCACACCCTCCTTGCTTCTGCAATATCCTTGTCCTATCAGGACCTGGAGTCCTGCCTGTTTCCCAGCCCTACTGTGTGTGTGTGTGTGTGTGTGTGTGTGTGTGTGTATGTGTGTGTGTGTGTGTCTTTGACACCTGCTCTTCTCCCTGACTCCTGGACTTCGTGGTAATCCTAATCATTATGTTAATAGTGATGCAAAGAATGTTCTCATTGCCTGTTAGAGCCTGCATTTGAGATTATTTCCTTATGACATTTGTAGGAGTAGAAGGACTGGGTTAAGGGCGTTAACACAGGCAGTGTGTGAGGACGCTCATTCCTTCATTCTGACCAGTCCTCAGGAGTCTTTGGGGGTGGGAAAAGACTTCATAAAGAGAGAAACACACACTGCACTGGGATTGTCCGGAAGCTGAGGAAGGAAAGAAAACATGTTTAGCAGTGTGGGTCGGAGGCATCAGCTCCTCCTGGGACCTGATCAAAATGAGAGTGTGGGAAGAGCTGACGATACAGGTGGTTCACTCTCAGGACTGCAGTCTGACCTTGTAATTGATGACTCATTCAAACCCTGCAGGCACACACCTATCCAGGCTGTCCACACATTTACTCTGTAGCCTAGGAGAAACATGAACTTCTTACCTGCAGCCTCATAAATGCCTAATCTTAGACGTGCTCCACCCAAGTGTCAGGAGCCCAGGTTTGTGCCCCTCCCCTGTGCAAGCCTGGAAATACTCACAGGAATTGACAATGAAATGAAAGAATATTTTTAAAATGTAAGAGCAAATCAGAGTCTGACACATGGCAGGTGTTGAGAAGTCCCCTCCCTGAAGTGAAGTCTGGGTCAGCTCCTCAGGACCAACATCATACGTTTTCAGTAATTCTGTCAGGGACTTGGGTCAGGGTGACAGGGATGGAGTCATCTCCTCAATGCCAGGTTCAAAAATAATCATTAACACTGAGATGCATCTTAAAAGTAACTTACTGACCAAAGAATTTTAAATTTTGGAAGATGCCCTTGATCCATCTCCGGGTACACATCACCACTGTAGCTGTTGGCTGTGGAAGGTTGTGGAGTTTTGTAGAACAGTCAACAACACTCACCCATGACTGTAGTATGATCAGGTGGGGTGACAGTCCCCGAATTATCCAGCAGATAGACAGAAGAGTGAGTCCATGGGAACCTTTGCTGGGCTTTGTGGTACAGGTCAGAGTAGCTTGCTTAAGGCCCTCGTGGGGTAAGTTGGGGAGAAGTGACATCTGTACTAGTCAGGTTCTCTAGAGTAACAGAACTCACAGAATCCATCTCTCTACATAGAAAGGGGTTTATTAGAATGACTCACGGGCTGTGGCTCAGCTGATCCAACAGTGGCTGCCTACGAATGGAAGGCTGAAGACTCCAGACGCTGCTCAGTCCACAAGGCTGGACGTCTCAGCTGGTCCTCAGTATATGCGGGAATCCTGAAGAAGGAGGCTGTAATGCGGTGAAGGGATTGACTTGTTAATGAGGCAAAACCAAGGAGGCAAAGATCAGCAGCTTCCTTCTTCCATGACCTTATATAGGCTTTCAGCAGAAGGCGTGGCTTACTTCCTCAATATATCTGTATAAAGACACGCCTTCCTGCTTTAAATCTGACTTAGAAGTGAGCCTCACCACTTCAAATTAAGCAAAATCCCCTCACAGGTGTGCCCTACATTTGGGTTTTAATTTAATTCCAGATGTAGTCAAGTTGACAATCAAGACTAGTCACACACCACTCACCCAGAGTCCACGAACCCACGGGAGTGCACTGCCACCAAGACACAGAAATTAAGTGTTAGGTAATGAACACTTTTGGAAACTTGTGGTACAAAGTTTGAAACATAGCTCATTGAGCTAAGGCTGACTGGGAAGTTTGTGTGTGCCTGTGTTTATGTGCACTGTGTGGGATGTTGTTTAAATCAGTTCAAGTGAAAACAGTTTATATGTTAACCATCTGCATCCTGAGTCATTGACTAATCTGGGATCCAGGATTTGGTGCCTGGCTTCTTCCCTCTGAGCATCTCCGGGTTCAGAGACAAGCTCATTCTTCCTGGTACCCACTTTCCCATGGCCTCTGAAGCATGTGTGCTGGCCATCCAGCCACGGAGAGCAGTGCCCTGGTATGCATGAGCAAAGCAGCCATAGTAACTTTGTTTATCTGACGAAAGAGATTCTGAGAGGGAAAGTACTGTGCACGATGTCACACAGCTGATTCTTACTTTGTGTTTTTTAATAATTCCAAGGTTTCTACAATGCTCTTTGTTTGTATAAACACACAGCTTGTCCCTCCCTTGACTGTGCCCTTTGATCTCTCAAACACACAGCCTATGGCACTGTTTGCAGGATTGTGCACCTTGCCCTCTCTGTCCCCAGGCTGGCACTCTCTCCCACCAGCACACAGAACAACCTTGGCCTTTTCTCTGCTGCCCCACAGGCTGAAGAGAGGGTGGCTAAGACCAGGGGGTGCAGGCTGGACATCCACTGACTTCCTTCCTACTATTCTCTGGAACAGGACACTCTTTTCTGGGTCTCAGGTTTCACCGTCGTACTTGGCACAGATACACTCCCATGCTAGGGCTCATGACTCTGTGGAGAGAAGACTCTGACTGTGCACACTTGCTCTGTCCACACTCAGCCTCTTGCCCTGAGCCATCGGGTGAATGATACTTGGATCTGTTTCCTGAGGATCCCCAACTGTAATCCCATGTGGGATTTTTCTTTGGAATGGCATCACTGCCCACCCTGTACGCGGACAGTATTCTATGGTAAACGGTGCCCACAGGCTCTTCCCTTCCTTATGTATTTATTTTTTTCTCTGTCATGTGGACAGCAATGGAATGCGGCCACCATCACACTCCACCCAGTAGGGAGCAGAAGATCAACTCTATGAGTCCATCCTGAAACTTGTCAGGGTTCTTAAATCTTGTACACTTTTTTCTCCCATAGCACTGTACTCGTCATAGAGAAATAGCAGGGAAGAAGGCGAGGTGTAAGGTCATCGTGATTGTCCCCTGGGCTGAATAGCAGACAGCATGTGTGTTAATAGAGCTTGTCTCTGGTTGTATCTGAATTTGCAGAGTTTGTTCTGGAAGGCTCTGACTGATGAGTGGCTTAACTTACCGAATGAGTAGAATTCTGGAGTCTGTAAGGAAGTGGGCTACACTTATATAGACCATGGGTCACTCGGAGCATGTCATCGAATGCTGTTTCTTGACTGTGTCTCCTCCTGTCACTCCCTGTTGTTTCCTGGCTTCCATGTGGTAAACACTTGCCTTTGCCGTGCCTGCCCCTCCATGAGCCACAGCTGTCCTGCTGCCTGTCACTGGTGTTCAGCAGGGACAGACCTGGTCACAGCTCCTCCTCTGCGCTGTCCTTCCTTCACCCTGTCCATCTTCCCACTCCTTTTCTGGGGTCTGAGTCTCACTGGTCTCTTTACATAGTGTTTTCTTTCTTAAAGTGCTCTTTTAATAACTGAGATACATTATTACATTACATAATTTCATTTTAAGTTTTTAAAACATGTACTCTATTTTGAAAATATTCTAGATTAATAATAATTACTAGATTACTTTCACCACCCATAAAGTTCACGTATCTATGAGAGGTCACAATGAGCCATCTCAATTCTCTCCCCACATCCACCATGGCCTATTTTTCTCTTTCCTAAAGAAAGGTGTGTTCCTACTTGGGCAGAACTGTGGAAGTGAGGTGGCCCTGAATTGGACAGCTGCAGGGAGCTACCTTATCACTGGACACTGGGCGCACGCATATAGTGGTCATTCGTTCGAAGGGCTATGATGTAGTGGTTCTGAGAGGCCTGAGAGCCTGGAAGAGGGCAGACAGAAGCACAGGCTCATCAAGGAATCTCTGTCCCTAAGCGCCAGACTGACAGGGTGAGGAAAGAGTACAGGGTTCATGCCAAAGATGTGGTGAGTTCTGGTGATGGCTCTTGTGTTTGTTAAGGAACACATGCTGAGCAGCTGGCACAGTGTTCACTAACATGGGCACATGAGCACAACAGTAGAGAGGACGCTATGAACTTGGACACTGAGGAGCAAGTACTAGGCATCTCAGGACACAGGTAGGTACCAAGTTCGTCCAGGACTCTGTTCTGTTCCCCCAGGGAGATGGTTACGTCCACACCAAACTTTCTCTTAGCCAGACATTCCAGTCCAAGGAAGGACAGAGGGGCTGTTGAACACAAGAGTGTTCTTCTAACAGACAGGGGGCTGGAGAGATGGCTCAGAGGATAAGAGCACTGGCTGCTCTTCCAGAGGTCCTGAGTTCAATTCCCAGCAACCACATGGTGGCTCACAACCATCTGTACTGAGATCTGGCACCCTCCTCTGGCGTGCGGGCAGAATGTTGTATACATAATAAATAAATAAATCTTTAAAAAAAAAGACTTTGAATACACACAGGACATCTCTTCGCCCAGTGTTTAGAACTTGGGAAGAAGGCCACTTGAGCTGCAAGGGAGGAGGGGACATGGCTCCATGTCTCAGGGTGCATGTCTCAGGGTGCATCTGTGGCCAGGAGGGGAGGGCAACAAAGAGAAGGGAAAGTTTCTTAAAACATGATAATAAAAATCAGGAGGCACTTATCAACTTTTTATAGTAACAATTTAGAAAACATATAATATCATTTGGAGAAAACACCAAGTCTGATAGGTCAGGGTTTATAAATTTATTCTTCAAATATTTTGGAATAAGGTCAGCCCTCCTGCCACATCCACGGCTTGTGCTTCTTGGAGCTTGGCCCCCGGCGGTTCCCTGGCGGTCTGCTCGAGTTGAGGTGCCTGATTAGCCTCAACGAACTCGTTCACTTTGATCCTGGCGATGGTTTCTTGCATTGACTCTGCTATCCTTTCTTCTGTTCTATTTTTCTCTTGATAAAAACTTAGTCTGTTCAAGGAACCAGGAAACATTCCTAATGGCTCCTTGAATACGGAGGAACTGATGCATCAGTTCCCTCCCTTGATTCAGGCCATTAATGTTATGATTAAGACTCTGGCTCGCTCTCTGGGGAATTTACAGATACCCTAGAACAGAAAGAGCTCATGATAGGAGATTTGGTAGAATATGAACAAATTATGAAGGAAAATGTATGGAATGGCATGAGTTACCATTTATGGAGAGGCTAGCCAGAATGAGAAACCCCTGGTGCATTTTAGATAGGAAAGAAAGGCAGGCTATTCTTGATAACATGAAGTCGGCCATTCAATATTGGAACAAACCCTGGGGGTGGAATTCTGAAGAATGGTGTTTGGGTTACCTTGGTTACCTTGAGGGCAGATATGATTTAGGGCCATGAGGAAGCACAGTTGAGAATGGTGTTTGGGTTACTTTGGTTACCTTGAGGGCAGATATGATTTAGGGCCATGAGAAAGCACAATTAGTGAGTGGTGTGAGATGAATTTCTAAGAAAAGCTCTGCCCACCTGGCCCTGACCACAAGACTTGTTAAGAATAATCAATTGTCTGTAATCATTTTTCTATGGAAACTTTTATGTCTGCCAACTTCCTTCTGTAATCTCTTAAAAGTGATGCTTGAAGTTTAGTAAAGTTGCAGCAGATTCAAATCTCATTAGAGTTGTGTCTGTCTGTCATTCGCTGAATCCTGGGTTCTCCTAAGTCTTCACCCCTGTTCTCCCTTGGTCTTCGATCTCCAAGAGAGTCAGTCCGCGGCACCCTCCAATGCATCTCAACAGATCTCATCTAATTGCAGCAGAGTTTAAACTTCAAGGGAATTAAACCTTGTCATTTCCCCCAGTCTGTGTCTTCTCTCTCTAGCAGGCACTGCTGCCACAGGAGCATTGCTGTGAAGGGATCCAGTCAGGGCCTCTCATGTATCCATGGCACTTTTTAGGGCAGCGCCTACCTCCAGTTCTGAGCGTCACTGAAGAAGAAAAAGGTCACTGAGTCAGGCTATAATGAACCCAGATAAGCTCCTGCAACTTCTGCTCCAGGTCCTGAGCCTTCTGCCTCAGCTTTGCAGCAGACTCTGCCTTTGCACCCTCCTGTAAATGCATTGTGTCTACTATGATACCGACCACATCTAGCACAAGGAAGAAACCTGCAGTCGCTACCCCCGTGATCCAGGCTCCTTTGGTCATTGCCAGAGCAGTGTCTCCTAAGGTTTTCTCCACCTGTTTAGTGCTCTGGGTTGACACCCTCCCTGTATTTATGAGATACTTGGCATTAATTGCTAGGTGAGGTTTGGCTTTGGTCAGCTTGATGGCATCAATGCTCTTCTTGATGACTTCCAGGTTCCGGAAGGAATTCTTAGATACAGAAATAAGCCTGGGGGTGCTCTTCTCCACAACTTCTTTAATTGCCTTTACTGTGTCCTTGCTGATTGACAGAAGCTCGCTGGCTTCAGCTTCTGCCGACATCATGCTTACCTTCTCCACAATGGTTGCGGAAACACTTGTCACAGCTGCTGCTGCCCCAAGCCCCAAGGCTGTGGCTGAAAGTCCCAGACTGAATTCTGCCGTCACAGGGGCCAGAGCGAGACCAAGAATTGTCAGGACCCCAGATGCAGCACTGGTGGAGCTGGCCACCACATGTGTGATGGTGCAGTCCCTGTGCACCTTGTCAATCTTGTCTGCAAGGGTGTGGAGCTTCCTGATGCGCTCCTCAAGCTCCAATTTCACTTGAGGACAGGCATCTAAAAAACTTTTCCTCTCCTGCCGGTCATTTTGGAGCTCGTCTTCATCTTCTACATCTGGATCTGGAATGATCTCAGCAAGAGCTTCATGCAAGGAAGCTTCCTCTGCCCTGTATCAGGAGAGACTGACTTAGTGAGGGAGAGAGCTTGTAAGATAAGCTCACTCAAGTGCAGGAAGTATACATGCACGCGCACGCACACACACACAATACACACACAAACTAAAACCAAAACTTTTTGCAAAAGCCAGCTTTCAATGAACTGCTGAGCACATACTACGTGCTGGCCATATGCTGAGCCCCCCACATGCATCCTCTTCTTTTTCTTACAGCGAAATTTAATGGTCCCCAAATGAAGCAGAAGGAAATAAATTAAGTTCTTATGGACACAGGAACAACAATGGAAGAAACAATCCTGTCCCCTGTGACTGCCATCTTCCTCAACCAGAGCCTGTCTCCTGCTAGTGATTAGTACTGAGGAAATATTTACAGAGAAGGGACACCCTGAGCCCCAGTTACTTGGTCTACCTGCATAGAGAATTCCTGCCCAGAAAAAGCCAGTGACACATGGCTCTGGTGGCTTTGCTAGCATCCCTAGGGAGGTGACCTGGACAAACCAGCTTCTTCCACAAGCTGTTTCCAGGCTTCCTCTTTAGTCAGCAGGAGCTGCAGGGCCTCTGTGCTCCTCGTGTCCACGAGGTAATGAAGCACACACTCAACGAAGCCTTTCCTCTCTGGATGGGAAGGAAAAAGAATGTGGTTAGAGGACCATGCTAGAGAACTTGAACGACATCAGGAAGACACTGGTTAAATATTTCTGAGCATCTGTCCCTTGAAGTATATTTTGGCGTCACTAGGGATAGAGGCTGAGTTGTGAGCTTTAGCTCATTTGTAAAAGCCCCAACCCAGGCGACTGTATTTGGACATCTAGCCATTAAGGAAACAAAGCAATGGAAATAAGTGAGGCCATGAGTGAGGTCCCCAATCCACAGTGTCAGTGCCTCATAGCAAGAGGAAGACACTCCCTCCCTCCCTTTCCCTCCTTCTCTATCTTAAACCTGCTCCCTTTTGTCTCTGCCCTTGCCTCTCTTCCTCTCTCCATAAGAGAGCCCATGGGCTGGTAGAGGTACAGGCTCCCTCTCTCCACCAGGAAGAGATGAACACTATGGCCCAACCTGCTGCACTTTGATTGCAGAAATTAGATTCCAGGGCAGTGAGAGAAGAAGTCTTTTCTTTTTAGGCCACCTAACCAGTGTCATGTTGTGATGTCATCCCGAGAAGACCAATGTACCAGAGTCGTACCATGGTGCTTTGCAAAGATAGGTATTGTCTTCAGGCCAGAACAAGCAGGAAGTGAGTCCCTTGTCCGCAGGAGGATTCCAGTGATCACTTCCATTTACTGCTCGTACGGTCCTTGAATGTGATTTTTCCTTGATTTTTATTTTATGTATGGGAATATTTGTCTGCTTGTATACATGTCTATATACTGTGTATGTGCATGGTCTCCAATGTGGGTCTTCGTTCCCTGGAGTAGCAGTTACAGATGTCTGTGAACCTGCTAGGGGTGCTGGGAACCGAACCCGTGTCCTCTGCATGAGCAGCAAGTGCTCTTAACCACTGAGCCACTCTCCAGCTCGAAACATGACTTTCCACACTGGAATGGTTAATTATTAATCCCGAGTTTCACCCCAGGGGATGAATAAATATGTATGAGATCACCCGCCCTTCTCTATGCGGTCTGTGAGGAGCGTCCAGATATAAGTAGAGCAGGGGTGCTGGGAGTGAATGCTTGGTTCAAAGACTGAGCTGAGGCATCATGGGAAGTGGGACCTGGCTGGAGTCAGGTGGGCACCTGGGATGTGACTTTGGGACTGATAGGTGCCTTGTTCCTTTCTTGTTACTGCTTTGTCTACTTTTTGTGTGCCATGATGTGAGCTACCCAACTTGTCTCCCTGCCAGGATGGACCAAATCATACAACACTGTAAACAAAACAAATCTATTCTCATTGGTCAAAATATGCTGAAAGTGAGTAGCACTATTCTTTAAAAAAAATTTCAATAAATGTACTTTGGTGTTTTGCTTGCATGTATGTCTATGTGAGGGTGTCAGATCCCTTGGGACTGGAGTTCCAAACAGTTGTTTGCTGTCATGTGGGTGCTGGGAATTGAACCTGGATTCTCTGGAAGAGCAGCCAGTTCTCTCAACTATTGGGACATCTCTCCAACTCTGAGTAACACTAGTTTTAAAAACTAGCTTTTAGTGATTGATTGAATGAATAAATGAATGAATGGTCTACTGAGCCAATAGAATTTTAAAAAAGAAATGGAGGTGGCATGGTGGTGCATGACTTTAATCCCAGCCCTTGGGAGGCTAAGGCAGGTGGATCTCTGGGATGTGAGACCAGGAGAAGCCAGGGAACACAGTGATTTGGGGACTGGTGTGGATCAGGTTGGTGTAGGGTGATTCCTGAGTGTAGGCTGTTCCTACATGTAGGGTGGTCCCTGGGTGTAGGGTATTCCTGTGTGTATGGTGGTCCCTGGGTGTAGGGTATTCCTGTGTGTATGGTGGTCCCTGGGTGTAGGGTATTCCTGTGTGTATGGTGGTCCCTGGGTGTAGGGTAGTCCTTGAGTGTAGGGTGGTCCCTGGGTGTAGGGTAGTCCTTGAGTATAAGGTGGTCCCAGGGTGTAGAGTAGTCCTTGAGTGTAGGGTGGTCCCTGGGTGTAGGGTAGTACTTGATTGTAGGGTGGTCCCTGGGCGTTGGGTGGTCCCTGGTTCTAGGCTGGCCCCTGTTTGTAGGGTGGTCCCTGGGTACAGGGTGATTCCTGGGTGTAGAGTTTACTTCCTCAACTCCTTCTCTCCCTGCCTCCTCTTCTGGCTTCCATTTTTCAGGCTGGGTATTGAGAAGATACCTTTTTAATGCACTTCAAGACAAGGCTAGGAGGGAGGCTGCTCTGACCCAGGACTGGAGAACTCTCTGCTCCCACTTGGGGTTCTCCTCCTACATCTTTGACTCCTCAACAGGCCTCAGTAGGGAGGCCCTGGCAGTCCTAGGCCATGAGCAGCAGCAGAGAACAGACTGATTACCTGGGGAGCCCATGACAGCTGCTGGGTCTTGGTGTCACTCAGAGGATCCTTACAGCTCACCAGGTGTCCAGGCTACAGGAGGAAATAACAACCTGTGGGACAGAATGGGGACAGCTGCTGTGACCAGGGATCTGGTGACCCACAGTTCTCTCAATGGTGACTCCTAAAACAAAAAGAACTGAACCCAAAGCCTGTCTGCCTCTCTGGACTCTGTGACTGTTATTTAAGAAGCCTGTCCTGTAGTCCAGCCCTGCTGTCCTCTTTCCAGGCAAGGAGGAGAACTTATGGCATGCTGGGGACAGTGCAGAAGGTGTCAGCTGAGGACACAGCTGTGGAGAAATGACAGACCCTGCACATAGACTGAGAGATGGAGAGGAATGTTCTGCTAGCCACCTGGGTGTGGGAACCATGTTTGTATTGATGGTAACTTTCCTCCTTCCTTCCGTCCTTCCTTCCTTTCTCTTCCTTCCTTCCTTTCTTTTTTTTTCTCTCTTTCTTTCTTTCTTTCTTTCTTTTTCAAGTGTTAGGATCCCAGGTTTGTGGCCCGCCCCCTGTTCAAACCTCTTACTCACATGAATTCAAGATCAACAATCTCACATGAATTCAAAATGAAATAGCAAGAATATTTCAAAAAACCTAACAGCCAGTCAGAGTTTTAGACATAGCAAGTGTTCTGAAGTCCTCTCCCCAATGTGAAACCCACGGTCAGATTCTTCAGGGCCAGCATCCTTCCTGTTCAATAATGCTAACAGTAACTTGAGACTTAAGGTGACAGGGGTGGAGTTATCTCATCATTTGAAGGTGTAAAAAAAATCACATTAATACAGAGATGCAACTTAAAAGTCATTTAATGCACAAAGCATTTAAAGCTCTGGAAGATGCCTATTGGTCCAGCTCTGGGTACACATCCCCACTGTAGCTGTTGGCTGTGGAAGATGGTAGAGTTTTGTAGAACAGATAACAACAACCATCCACGACAGTAATATGCTCAGGTGGGGCCATAGCCACCTACATGTGCAGCAGGCAAACATCAGAGCAAGTCCATGGAAGCCTGTGCTGGGGTGTGAGGTGCAGGTCAGAGTAGCTTGCTTAAGGCCAAATGGGGGTGAGGAGAAGTGAAATCTGTACTCGTCAGGATCTCTAGAGTGACAGAACTCACAGAATCCATCTCTCTACATAGAAAGGGGTTTATTAGAATGACTCACGGGCTGTGGCTCAGCTGGTCCAACAGTGGCTGCCTACGAATGGAAGGCTGAAGACTCCAGACGCTGCTCTGTCCACAAAGCTGGATGTCTCAGCTGGTCTTCAGTATATGTGGGAATCCTGAAGAAGGAGGTTGTAATGCGGCGAAGGGATCGACTTGTTAATGAGGCAAAACCAAGGAGGCAAAGATCACCAGCTTCCTTCTTCCGTGACCTTATATAGACTTTCAGCAGAAGGCGTGGCTTACTTCCTCAATATATCTGTATAAAGACACGCCTTCCTGCTTTAAATCTGACTTAGAAGTGAGCCTCACCACTTCAAATTAAGCAAAATCCCCTCACAGGTGTGCCCTACATTTGGGTTTTAATTTAATTCCAGATGTAGTCAAGTTGACAATCAAGACTAATCACACACCACTCACCCAGAGTCCACGAACCCACGGGAGTGCACTGGTACCAAGACACAGAAATTAAGTGTTAGGTAATGAACACTTTTGGAAACTTGTGGTACAAAGTTTGAAACATAGCTCATTGAGCTAAGGCTGACTGGGAAGTTTGTGTGTGCCTGTGTTTATGTGCACTGTGTGGGATGTTGTTTAAATCAGTTCAAGTGAAAACAGTTTATATGTTAACCATCTGCATCCTGAGTCATTGACTGATCTGGGATCCAGGATTTGGTGCCTGGATTCTTCCCTCTGAGCATCTCCAGGTTCAGAGACAAGCTCATTCTTCCTGGTACCCACTTTCCCATGGCCTCTGCGGCATGTGTGCCTACCATCCAGCCACCAAGGAGAGCAGTGTCCTGGTATGCATGAACAAAGCAGCCATAGTAACTTTGTTTATCTGACGAAAGAGAGAGATTCTGAGAGGGAAAGTACTGTGCACGATGTCACACAGCTGATTCTGACTTTGTGGTTTTTTTTTTTTAATAATTCCAAGGTTTCTACAATGCTCTTTGTTTGTATAAACACACAGCTTGCCCCTCCCTTGACTGTGCCCTTTGATCTCTCAAACACACAGCCTATGTCACTGTTTGCAGGATTGTGCACCTTGCCCTCTCTGTCTCCAGGCTGGCACTCTCTCCCACCCAGCACACAGAACAACCCTGGCCTTCTCTCTGCTGCCCCACAGACTGAAGAGAGCCTGGCTAAGGCCAGGGTGTGCAGGCTGGATATCCACTGACTTACTTCTAGTATTTGGAAGAAGATACTTTAATCTGGGCCTCATTTTACACTATGGAACCTGGAACAGACGTATGTTTGGAGAGAGTCGTGGTGAAATGTTACTGATTCAGTGGTGGCAGCTGTGCAGTTTCAAAACGGCAACTTACTGGCTGTGGGCCGTGCTGCTAGCACAAACTCTGACTCTTTCAGGAAATCAAGATTTGGATGGGGTTTGTGAGCAGCGTGCTGTATCTTGCTTGGTGGCAATGTGGACTGGCTGTGTGCCTGGAAGTGTGGCAGTGTATGTGGCTCAGAGACACAAGTGGCTCCACCATGCTGGATTTGGGGGGCAAGCAGGAAGTACTTATATACCCTAGTAATGGTGCATTATCAAGCACTTAGCATTTTAAGAAGTGCTCCTAGACAGTAAAGAATTACAGATTCACAATAGAACAGATTCATTCATAAAAGACCTCTAAATGGGTCACAGTGTTGGATAAATGTACGTAGGCTTGGGAGAGAGAAGAAAAAGTCTATAGAGAGTGGTAAAAAGAAGTAAATGGTTTTCAAAAAATAAAATAAAGTCTTTAAAGAGACAGAGTATAGACAATCATACATTAAAAGGAGTAAAGAAAATAATCCATGTAAAGATGGATTATACACAGAGAGTCTGGATTAGGTATATTATTGTGTTTTCTTTGTATTTTTTGACTGTGAAGGAACTAAATATAGAGAGACATTTCATTGTATGGGCTGCTAAACTAAACCATCATGTATATTATAAAGGTATCTTGACTTCAAAATTTGGGTCTAAGGATATGTTGTTTTGGAAAAGAGCTTTTTCTTTTGTTTCCACAGAGGATGAGAACCTGTGGATTCATTCCAGGCTAATATGGTTTGATAGACTACTACCTCCTGAAAGGTCACCATGAATACCCTCAAAAATTACTTTGTCCAACTGCTGACCGAGGTGAACCTAGCACACAGGCTACACCATGAAAGACATGATTAACAGTGTCCCCAATCAGCAGGAAGCAGTATGAAGAAAACTACACCCATATTCCCAAATATTGTCTATAAATGTTTGTTTACATTTAAATGGGGATATGATATAGATATGAATAATTTGCATTGGTTTATTGATTCAAATTTAAGATCAATCTTGTTATATGTATACTTCTGCTCTTGATTAAGTTATGTTTATGTAGCTCGTTAAAAAAATAATGTATATTTATTTATTTATTTACTTACTTATTTTATTTTTGAGACAGGGTTTCTCCGTAGCTCTTTGGTTCTTGTCCTGGAACTAGCTCTTCTAGACCAGGCTGGCCTCGAACTCACAGAGATCCAGCTACCTCTGCCTCCCGAGTGCTGGGATTAAAGGCATGCACCACCACCACCCAGCGGTATGATTAAAAATATAGGTTAATAGATAATCATCTATAATAGTTAAGCTTGTAGTTATGTTAGTTAGATATTCTAGATGTATAGAGATTATATTTCTGTTCAATATGTATTCTTCAAATCTTTCAGAGACCTTCAGAATATGGCATTTAAAATGTTAAGAACTTAAGACTTTTCATGACAGTAAGACACATCTGCTCTTGGCAGCACCAAGCTACTTCAAGAGGATGATGGGCATTGAAGAGGCTCCTTATAAAGTTGGTTAGCCATTTGGGCAAGAAACTGCTCTTGCCTGGACTGCTTGATGAACTAGACATGTAGGACCCACAGAATTATGACTGCTAACCTTGCCAGTTCAGTGAGACTGTCCTTTGGGGTTCCTGCTTCATGAAAGAGTCTGTCAGACAATCTGCAGAACACAGAAGAAAGTGACTGACAAACTGCCAATATAGGTGGAACTGTCTTTGAAATGTCCTGCTTCATGGAAAAGTCTGGTGGATAATATGGGCAAGCTAAAGATGGATGCCCTAATGGTACAAAAGAACTTTGGGTGACTGTCCAGGCAAAGAGATGTCTCTGTCAATTCTAGAATTTCGGAAGTTGCTTACACTGCACTTCCTGTTTACTTAGGTAATATTATATCCTTCTGGAGTCTTTAATGGATCTGAAGAATTTATAGTGATAGTTTTCCTTAGTTATCATAAAGGATAAAGTATATAAAATATTATAACTGTAATTCTTGTTGATACCTTTTTTGTTATATGTAATTTTACTATGTTAAAGTTAAAGCCTTCCTTTTTGTTTAAACAGAAAAGGGGAGTTAATGTGGGATTTCCCTCTGTATGCTGTGATTACCATTAATGAATAAAGAAACTGCTTTGGACCTATAGCAGGGCAGAATTTAGCGAGGTGGGTAAAAATAAGCTGAATGTTGGGAAGAAGAAAGGTGGAGTCAGAGAGAAGCTATGGAGCTGCCACAGACAGATGCTGGAAACTTTTGCTGGTAAGCCACAGCCATGTGGCCATACACAGATTAATATAAATGGGTTAAATTCAGATGTAAGAGTTAGCCAGTAAGAAGCTAGAGCTAATGGGCCAAGCAGTGATTTAATTTATGCAGTTTCTGTGTGATTATTTTGGGTCTAAGCTAGCCGGGAGTCCGGGAACCAACAAGCAGCCCTCCTGCACAGCTGGGAGTATGGGTAGGTATTTCCCTACTTATGGAACTGAGTTATATGGGACACAGTGGTCCTTAGCAGTGTGTCCAGTCCCCAGCTGTGCATCTAAGTCACAAGCAGAGGCAAGCATAGGCCAATGTTCCCTGCCTGAGAAGGGCAAGAGGAGTCACACACATTCTGACTGCTGACACCCCAGAAAAGCCTCACACTAGCTGCCCCCCTCAGTCTTGTCTTCTGTAATACCTACTCAGTGGAGAGACCTCAGACCCTTCTCATCTCATAGTGCTTGATGAATCTTTGTGGTCTTAGCCACCATTAAATGTGGGACCCGCTGTGGTTCACTCCCCAACTCTGCCTGGTTCTGTTCCTTTTCCATTTTTTCAGTCCCATCCTAGCCTGTTCCTCTGCATAAGATGCCTGCATCCTCCACCCACTGAAATCTCCCAGGCCTCCTCTTTCTGACTGGCTTCTGAATTTCCTCTGTGGACTGAACACGGTGTTTTCCTGGGCCCCTCTCTCCATTAGTCTTGGTCCAGCACCAGTGTGAGCCATGTTCCGAGTAGTAGCCCAATAATGGTTCCAGAACCATCTAAGTGGGTACTGTCCTATTGAGCCCACAGTGCCCCTTTCTGGGCACTGGGAGACATTTATTGGACACAGAGTCACCAATTTCTGAGGACATGGCATCAATAAAGGATAACAAGTGCTTGCTTTTTTAATTATCCTCTCTGTCCTCCTTGCCTCTTCTAATCCTCCAATGTTTCTAGAATGTTCTCCTCTTCGACGGGCACAAGGGACTAAAACCCCTCCCTCCACACACACCTGAAGTCTGATCTTTGACCTTGTGGTTAACACACAGTTCAGCGAGTTGTTTACCTGATTGTTCACATTTTCCTTTCCTGCCCCAACACTGACACCTTTCCCCAGCTAATACACAGGGAACCATTTCTCTCTCCTCCATCCCCTACAGGCTGGACAGAGGTCAGAGGAGGCCTAGTAGGTCAGGTCTGTGACCCACCTGTTCAGCCTTCTTCACAGATTCTTCAGAAAAAGCCACTCCCTAGGTCCTCAGTTTCCCCATGGCATGGCAGAGATACATACTCAGAGACAGTTGGTGGCACAATCTCCGGGCTTCCTGTATCTCCAAGTCAGCATTTGTCTCCAGCTGGTCTAGGCAGCCACAGTCCTGGTCCACCGTCAGATGCTCTCAAGGACCAGTGAGTTCTGAGTCTCCTGCCCTCCTCCACACCCTTCAGTTTCTCCATTTCCCCAGCTGCTGGACACCCAGAATCTGCTTTCTGTCAGGAGTCTGCTGTCCTGACCCTAGCATCCTAGCCCATGAGCTGAGCCCTAGACCACATACTGACCCCATCTGAGGGTTTGCCCATCCTTTCTTGTGTTTAGTGCAGAGAGAAAGATC